TCATTGTATCACAAACAGTTATATAGTCATTCTCTTAAAGGATTTTTATCAAGCTTAGAACTAATAATGATAAGCATGAGGAGAGTATTGAACAAATAGGAGACAGGGACTGGGGATATAGCTCGAAAGTAAAGCACTTGCCTAGCATACATGAGATCCTGAGTTCCATTCCCACCACTGCGAAGAAGAAGAAGGAGAAGGAGAAGGACAAGGTCAAGGACAAGGACAAGGACAAGGAGAAGGAAAAAAGAAAAGATAAGAAAATAAAAGAAAAGAAAAAGGAGAGAGAGAAAAAAAGAGAAAGACTGCTATATCATACCACCTAGTTGACTGAACAGCCTAAAAGAAATAAACAAAGACACCTAAACACCAATCCAAGAAGACAACATGGAAACATCAGGACCTAAGAAACACTAGCATGAATAAAGTATATATTTGAAATCCATCAGATTTCAGGCTTCCTCAAAATAGATCGATTACTCATACCACTATATGGGATGGAGAGATTGGATGAGTAATAGATATGAACAAGAGAGAGAGGATTGTGCCTACTTAGGTTTCTGTAAGCAAGCAAACATGACAATGAAATGGGCCTAAAGCTCAGGAACAAGAAAAATAATGGTGTGGTTTATAAAGGAGTCAGTTGCTAATAATGACCAGACTTAGGTGACTTTCGAGGCTATATCCTCATGCAAACCTGATTAACTGGATTTTCATGTATTAATTTTTTGAAAAGACAATTCAAATCGGTTAAAAATAGCTTTTTGGCCCATCACATCAAAGAACTAGTCTCACAAAAATTTTTCTTAGAGCTAGTTGCTTTGGTGTTAAATAAACACAATACAAAAGAATGCAGATAAACACTATGGAAACTCTAAGACTCAAATGTCTATGTTGCCTTTGTCAAATCACTTGTTTTCTTTGGGCCCCTGCTTCATAATATATGTAATCATAGGGGTAAACTAGCTGATCTCCTAAGATCTTACCCCATCATGGTCTGTATTTCTATAGTGAAGCAATTTGATAAAATAATTCCTTTCATTCATACCTTCTACATCTTCAAGTCCTTGAGGGTATGTTGGACAATGTGTCCTTGTATATTTGGGCAATTACAAAGCAAAAATATATGTCCCCCTGATTTACATACACTCAGAGACCCCTGCAACCTCCTACCCCTACCTTTGATATATCTTTATAGATTCATTGACTTAGCATTGGAAAGAAATAGAACATTTTCATTCGGACAACCAAATAAACAAGGACACACTTTTCAATATATATATATACACATATACTTGTAGGGTATATGTGGACATAGGAGCATAAGACTATAACTCTTTTGGAAAACTGTAAGAAATGGATTTATGTCCCATTCATCAGCTAAAGAATGTGTGGCATCCTTCAAGTCCTTTACACTAAAAGCTCAGTAACATACATGCTGAATGCAGTTTAGACTCATTGATTTATCAAAGGAAGCTAGATTGGACACATATTGGAAATTTCAAGAAGCAAAGATTCAAAGGAAGGTATATAAGATCTCAAAATTACAGGAGATATTGTGATATTCCAAAGATGGGATTTCAGGGATGTCACTAGGGACATGTCCAGAAGGTTGAAAACTAAGCTTGGAAGAATCTAGGTCATAATACAAATGACTCAGAATCAATAATGAGAACCATGTTCAAAAGGGATTCTGTCTGAGGAACAGAAGGGTAGATAGTGTTCAGGTTAAAATGGTATCCTAGAGTATGGATATTAGACTTCTGCAAGACTACGGAGTTAAGAGGATTGGTTTGATTATTCAAGAAAGTTGTGGGCATCAGTCTGGGATGACGAGGTACTGTCTTGCTTTCAGGTAAGGGGACTGACAGATTAGATTTATTAGAATGGACTCTGAGATCCAGTGCAAAAGATCTGCAATACAGTGTGCAGTAGGGCCTGGTAAAAAGAGGATGTTGAGTAGGATTTTTTTAAAAAGGATTGGATGTCAATAAATTCTTTGCAATTCTAGATCTGCTGAATCTGATCTGACTAACAGGAATGAACTGAATTAGATACATACTATAGCCAAAGGTAAGATGGAAAAATATTGAGAAATGAATGGCAAGAGACTGCTGCAGCACACAGACTAGATGAAAAACTACGACTGCATGCATGTTTATGATTCAGAAATTCACTCATTAAAGAGCCATTCATTGTGAGCAGCAACAGTTAAGAAACTGACTGTGCTGTTAGTCAATTCCATATTATATTAAATCAGAGAGAGAATTACATATCCCATATTACTAAATAGGAGTCAAAGTGATTACAAGTTTTGGCTGCAGATTGATGGGATCTAGTGATTTTTGTCACGTACTACCTCTGCAGTAATGAATGATGCATTGTAAACCCACTCCCATCTCAGTCTCTGGCCAGGTGCTCATAGCTTTCTCAACAGTTCTTCCTGTAGCCCTGAAATTTGCTATGTTCAACCTAAATAGTGATTTCTTTTCTTATGCCAATTTAGGGACTAGAAAGCTAAATCCATTCAAGAAATGCTAATCTTTGTTAATGGAAATAAAAAGTATTTTCTCCATGGAACCTAACGTCTGCCATGTTGAAACTAAAGTTGAAAACTTTCCTATTTAAAGCTCTTCTATATTAACACATTAAGCCAGTTCTAATTTCTATGATAAATCCTTTCTGATACAATATGACTCAATGTTCATTTCAACGAAGAGGGAGGAAGAGAAAAAGGAGGGCCTGGCTCCTGTTTTCTCCCACTCTTGTGGGTTCAATGCTGCTTTTTACCTTCCTGTATAACGGCTCTGGGGTGTGTTGCTTTTTTTTTTTTTCCCTGTACTCTGCTGTTTTATACACTCGTTCTCAGAATAACTGAAAGCAAACATAGGGAGAATTTCTGCTATGGCTTTATATGTTTTCCTAGTTATGCTGTTCCAAAGTCTGCTCTCTAAAAATCTCTCTCTGTGCAAAAGCATTTGCATCTCTATCAAAGCACATCCCCCTTACAAATACCAAGTTGTATATAGTTTACATTACTAACCTCTCTGCCACTGACTGGGCCTCCCTCCTACCGCATACATCTTGCTGGAATTGCCAGGTTCTCACCATATTTAACTCTTAACTTGTCACTTTGCTACCCTAGTCCTATTCATTAATTTAATAGTTTCATTAAGACTTATAGCAGTTTATTTCAAACCAGGGAATCTTGAAGTTTTAATACCTTGCATTATTAAAGCTGTTTTAGTGATGAATGATACAGGGAAAATTGTTATGTCAAATGAATTCACATTTTTCTAATCCTGAGGAAAATGATAAACTAGTTATTCACTTAAGAAGCTGGAATCTTCTCTTTAAGCCTCAAATCATTTTATAAGACACAAGAAACCTAAGTTCTAGTCCTAATGCTATCTTTACTTTACTATGTGACTGTAGGCAAGTGACCTCTGTTCCAGGCCTCAGTTTCATCAAGATGAAGGGATATGAAAGAAATGTTTTCCTTTCTTGTTCCAGTGCTCTAAATTTTGTGCTGGGTTTGTTGGATACATATCTCAGTCTGAAAGGTCTTTCATAATGCTTTCTTTAGATTCTTTACTTCCTCACTATTCAGCTCCTCAACTCTGAATAAACACCTCCAAATCCAAGTCACTCAGATCATTATCTAGACTGTTTCATAGCAAAAGAGACCTAACATAAAGAAACAAAATATACTATTACAATAAAGTCTTAGTATATGCTTGCTTAGAGTCCAAGAGAACAAGTGGGATACTTCATTATGGATAAACTGCCAACCTTTGCCTTATTTGTATTTATGTATGTAACTGCCTTGTTAGGAATATGATTTAACACCTGGTATATCCAAATTAATGTAATAGCACATTATGTTACAGTGACGTTTTAATACACCCAGAAAAGCAACAACAGTTTGCACTTCAAAATAGATTTTCAGTTTAAGAGTTCAAGGTGTGTTTTCTGTTCATTCAACTTGCTTTGCTGCATTAGAGTTAGTGATAATTATAATTAGATGTGTGGAAGAGAGTGGATGCTGTAAACCATTGCCTTGGGTCCTATTAAATGTCTATTGGCTAACTAGACATGCTCACAGGTTCTCACTTTGAACAAAATTTTCATATGTCACACAGAGACACGTGCACACATACACAGGCATAGATCCAGAGATTTCTAAAGCATTTCTCTTGACTCAATGTAAGTGGGGGGTTATGCCGTGTCAGCTTGCGCCATTTCTACCCAGGGCAAGGTGATGTGATGAAATCTGAACGATGCACAGCTCAGACTTGTGAGCCAATAGCAGACTAGCCCCACGCTGACAGGATGCCTGCTGGGCAGCCAGACTGGCCTCAGCAAGGGCTCTTCCTACGACCTCAGCTTGGGTGGTTAGGCTGTGCTATGAGGGGCTTAGGTAAGCACCAAAATGCATTTAAAGGTGAACAGGCTGGATATTAAATTGACATTTGGCTAAAAATGGGATCATTTTGAAGTCTTGTTTTGATTTATAAATTTCCAATACAGATAATTTTCTATAAAAGCTGATTCATTTAAATTTCATTTAAAAGGTTTTCATTTTATTTTACCCACGCGCTTGCGCGCGCGCACACCACACACACGCGCGCGCGCGCACACACACACACACACACACACACACACACACCACACACACACACACACACACACACACCACAGACACACACACACACACACACACAGTACAGGATGGTTGGAATGAATGGCAATCTGTGCTTTCCATAGAAAGAATTATGAAGTCTTTAAGAGCTAATCTCTGTATCTTACCTTGAGAAAAGGGTTTATCCATGCTGAGAAAAGCAGAATAACTAATGCTCCATTTGGCTCAAAGGACCTCCTCTCCTGAGTCTTTAGGTTTCTCCACCTCTCTTCGGAAAGTCTGAATGAAAACTCCTTTACTGGCAGTAAAGCCAGAAACAGAGATAGTTCTGTCTTGGTCTTTCCGACACAGCAGAAAAAACAGAGAAAGGAAAAAATTAAAATTAAAACGGAGTTAGGAGTGAGACTCAGACCTGTAGTGGCAGATACTTTGTAGAGATTTTACATGCAGATCTAAATCTCGATGCACGTATTCCCCAAAGAAAGCTCAGCAGGGTAAGTTGTTCACCTCCTCCTCCTCTTTCTCCTCCTCCTCTTCTTTCTCCTCCTCCTTCTCCTTTTTCTCCTCCTCCCCCTCCTCCTCCGCCTCTTTCTCCTCCCCCTTCTCCTCCTCCTCCTGTTTCTTTACCCCCTCCTCCTCCAGTATTTTCCTTCCCCTCCTCTTCCCCTCCCCCTTCCCTCCTCCCCTTCCTTCTTCTTTACCTCCTCCCCCCACTTCTCTTTTGCCCCCGCCTCCACCTCCGCCTCGTTCTCCTCCAATCTGTCAGATGAACTGAAGCAGCAGAAACTGCAGTTGTAGGCATAGGATATCTCAACAGAGCAATAGACACCGCTAGCATGTGATTATTTATATAGTTCATGGTGTGTTGGTATATAATCTGCAGGGGGAGGGGTGGGGGATGAAGTAGCACTGTGTTCAGCTCAGCTAGCAGACTGTTTTGTGAATGTAGATGATTTCTGGAGGTCTTGTGAATGGGTTGTAGAGGAGGATGGGAAGGGATTTATTGCTCCTTGTTATAATTTCTCCCCCCCCCCTCTCTGTGTCGTTTGCTTTCCCGGAGCTGTAGCTCTTAATGCTTGGCTAAGTGGCGTCATCCAGTTGAAATTGAATCGACCCATTAAAACTCCCCATAGGAATCTCTGTATCCGGTCCCTGGGTAATGACTGAAACAAAATTTAAAGGAGAGTGGGGGTGGGGTGGAGAGTAGCAATTTTAAGGAGGCCTTATTTAAATATCTCTGCCAATCACAGCCCTACCAAGCCACTCAGCCCTTGCTGAGTGATTGCAAGCTTCAATCAGATAAAGAAAAGGAGCTTCTCCTTTGTTTAAGGGTTTCTCCCACCTCTTTTCCTCATTCATTCCCACTTTTTCAGCCCTAATGATTATCCATCCATCATTCACTGGGAAACCATTACCCAGCCTTTAGTATGTAATACATTCAACAACAAATATTTATCGAGTGCCTTCCTTTGTGCTAGGTGTTGTGGGTCCCTGCCTTCATGGAGCCTCCTTGAGACTGCCAGGGTTCTGAAGATAAAGCAGCCTTAATTTACTCTTAGAGCTAAGGACAAAGCTTTCTGTAAATTACACTCAGTCCACTATTTAATTCAATTTGGAGGGGTCCTCCTTCTGGGCATCCAGACAGAAGTACTTGGATAAAAGCAATTCTCATATTTAAAATAAATGAGGTTTGATTTCAAATCCCGTTCGATGGGCACATGGCAGAAGCTTGGCCATCAACATTCTTAGGATGCTTTAGTTACCCCAATCTATAAAATTGAGATGGTAAATGATGACAGTTCACAGTAAAACAAACTTGTGAGGGAAGAAACTGAGATTCCTAATCTTATTCTAACTCCTTCTGTGACCTTTGCAGTTTACTTGTCCTCTAGAGACTCAATTTCTACATTAACATGAGAGGATCTGATTAGGTAATTGCTTAGGTCTCTTCTAGCCTTAACATTCTATTATTTACATCCTCTCAGGGGTGTTAAAAAGAACAAAAAAGCATAAGGTTTTAAAAATATGTTTTTTTCATGGATCTGCATGTGCTCTATGTTCAAGATATCCCAAACTGTTCTGTTATGTATGTGTGTGTTGTGTGATATGTGTGTTTTCTAAGGAAATCCAGATCTATTTTCCCAATAAGAATTCCCAGTCAAGAAATTTTGCTATTTAAATTATTCTCTTATGTGGGCTCAAACATCTTTCTTATACTTGAGTTTATAGAGATTATGAAAACCATTAAAGCTGAATTGTTGGTTCATCTGCAGAAGAGAACAGATTACTGATGTATTCGTTCTCCCACTTATTCAATAAATATTTATGGCACATCAATTATGTGCCATAAATATTAGTTATGTACTACTAACTATATTAATTAGTAGTTATGTACTACTAACTATATTCAGGTCAAACAGATCAGGGTTCATATTTTTGCTCTTTAATTTATGAGCTCTCTGACTTCAAGCAATTCAATTCACTTCTCTGAGCCTATAGAGTGAAAAAAGTTCTTGCATTTAGAAGTTTTATCATGGTGCTTACTATATAGCAAATACCTAGTGAATAGTAATGATGAATGTTAGGAAATCATTCTTGCTCTAATGTAGTCCATGATGACTTCAGTTTGAACTTCTTTCATTTTTAACAATTACAGCTTTAAATCTGAACAGATTGGGTTGCCTAATTCTTTTCCCTCCTTTATTCTGTGAGCCTACATTAAGATAACAAATTATTCAATCTTATCACCTCTTAGGATGATACACATGACAAAAAATAATTATATTGATGGTCATTCATTCATTCAACAATGCCTACTATGAGATAGTATCTAAGTGCTGGTAATTCAACACCTAAATTTCCTGCCTTCAGGAGTTGACATTTAATTTGGTAGGAAGACCAAATTTATTCTATGTCAGATATTGTTCTAAGAATTCTATATATTTTAACTTATTTAATTCTGATAACAATCCTATGAGGTGTATTTATAAACTGCAGTGGTTTTACAAGTGAGAAACAAAAACCCAAAGAGATTAAGTAACTTGTCCAAGGTTACATACCTGGTGATTTGCAGATTTGGAATTTATCCTAGTCCAATTCACTCCAGAGCATATATTCTTAACCATTACACTACAGTATCCAAACAATTGGAGAACCCCTTCAAGGATTTTTTCCTATAACACTCCAAACTATTTGTTATCTGCTATGGTTGGAAGATTTGTCTCTCTCAAATTCCTATGTTGAAAACCAAGCACCAACATGATGGTATTAGGAATAGGGCCTTTGAGGTGATTAAATCATGAGGGTGGAACCCTTATACAAGAGGCTTCAGAGACTGCCTTACCCCTTCCACCATGTAAGGACTCAGCAAGAAGGTACCATCTATGAATCAGAAAACAACCTCACCAGAAACTACCAATGCCTTCATCTTCATCCCAACCTCCAGAACTGTTATAATAATGATAATGATAAATTATAATAATTATAATAAATCTATACAGAATACATAATTATAACAAACTCTGTTATTTATAGATTACTTAGTCTAAGATCTAAGGTTACCTAGTTAATTAAGCTTAAACAATGACAAAATCCCTGAACAGTTCATATTGTTGTACACTCCTTTGTCTTTGAATATCTGATCGGTCTTCCCGAAACACATCCCTAACTTATATCCTTTAGGCCTAGGTGTAGAATCACTCACTATAGGAAAAATCTGTACAAAAATCTCTTTCTCTAAAAGATCAGTTTAGGTAAATGCCTTCTTCTCTGTTCTCCAGTGGCCTCCTTGTACTTAACACTATCATAAACTTATCATTTTTTATTATAATCATCTATCTTCTATTCTAGACAGTGATTTCTGTGAGAGAAGATAAAATATTTATCATATTTATCTTTGCCACTTTATCTCTAGGGCCTGGCACTTGGTTATTGAATGGAAAGCTAACTGACTCTTGGAAATATACATGGATATCTTTATTTGTACTTTTAGCTGTTGTGTTTCAAAAACACTATTTGTAGTTTCATGATTTTTGATAGGTTATCAGAATAGTACAATTATTTACAGAAATTTGATATTGAGACATTATTAAATTCACTATATATTAACCTGACATCTTGTTTTACAAATTCATTAGATTTGCTTAACACTGCATTTCAAGACATTTATTTTCTTGTCTCCTGAGTTAATGGTGTACTTTTCAGAAAACACGTTTTTACAAATTCATTGAGTTGTTCAAGATCATAAAGCTAATTATTGATAGTATGGGGCCTAGAAGCAAACACAGATCCCCTGTCTCCCAATCCAGTCGCTTCTTTGTTTCTATAGGATACCTTGCTGGCATTAATTTAGTTCCAATTGAATTTGCTGATATTGTCTCAGCATAGGTCAACCCATATACTTCTGTAAGCCAATAATTTCCAAAAAATAAGTATTCCTTTTAAAAAATATTTTTTGGTTGTAGATGGACACAATACCTTTATTTTATCTATTTTTATGTGCTGCTGAAGATCGAACCCAGTGCTTCACACGTGCCAGGTGAGTGCTCTACCGCTAAGCCACAACCCCAGCCCCTAAATAAGTAATTTTAAAGGACACTAGAAGAATCACTCTGCTCTCCAAATATTTTCCTTACTACTCTGTGTAGAAATGTATGGTTTATGTTTTTGTAATGAATTAAACACATATTTTTATACTTTATAGCAACTGATTGTTCAGGTCATTTTTTAAAACATATTTTTGTTTTATTTACTTATTTATTTTTATGTGGTATTGAGGATTGAACCCAGTACCTCACACATGCCAGACGAGTGCTCTACCACTGAGCCACAACCCCAGCCCTGTTCAGATCAATTTTGATATAACAGTTAACTAAAAGACATTCTGAAACAAGGAAGAGTATATCTAACAGTATACTGAATGAAGAAAATAGGAAATGGGGAAGAGTGTTGTAGGAATTACAAATATAGAAATAAATTAGGTAGTCAAGGAAGGTTTCACAGATAATTAGAAAATGGGCAGAAAATGATAAACATATAATTCAGATTAAGGGTACATGTGGAAAGTCAGATTAGTAGCAACATGCATAGAGTCTAAGAAGAATGAAACTTTCAAAATATCTTGTGTAAGAGGTAATTTGAATGACAGGCAAAGTAATTTAGATTTAGTGCTCTAGGAATTAGAAATAAATATTTAAATGAAATAATAAAGTATGAAAATAAACTACATTTAATAAAGACACATTGGGCATGATATATTGGAATGGGGAGATACTTGAGTTAGGTCAGCCAATTTAAAATACTCTGGAGTAATCAAAACAGTAAATGATAAGGGCTAAGTTTGGGAACTGAAAGAAGAGATGTAAAGATGAGCTATTTTCTGTTGAATATGGCAATGGCAATGATGCCATTATGATATCTAGTACTTGGAAAGCAAATATCAGTTTGAATGAATAAATATGTAATATTAGGGTTGGAAAGTGCTTTGGGGGCTATATTATCAAATCTCCATTATAAAATTTTATTCACAGTCCTAAGGTAGCTCTTTATCCTGATTTCTCTTTTACACTAAGCTATAGAATCTTATTCAGTTTTTTTATTGGTTCTTTTTAGTTATACATGACAGTAAAATCCATTTTGACATAATTATATGAGCATGGAATATATATTATTCTAATTTGGACCCCAGTATTTTCTCTGTAATATTTTTCATTGTCTTATCATCCACACCCCTGAAATCTTATCTAGTTACACTTCTTTTATGGTATTCATCACTTTCTAATTTACACTGTAGTTAACTTATGTATATATCTTGTCTTTCCAAACAGAATTACTCAAAGATCCATATATGTGCCCCCCCAGTACTTTTACTCTGACTTTCATATCATAAAGTGTTGTTGAAATAAACCAGGAAATGCCAAATTAGTAGCAAAGCCAGGAGTATAACGCAGATCTCCTGACACTTGGTCTAGTGTTCTATTTACTGCAGCACAAACCAGGGAATGTGATGAGATCATGAGTTCTTCTTAGGAAGCATCAAATTTGAGGTGATTATGGGACATTTTCAAATGGGAGTATTTGGTAACAAGTTAGAGACATGGGACTAGAATTGGAGTGATATTACAGGAGAGAGACTTGAGGGCATGTTAACATGGAAGAAATTACTGGCATTTTTTTTTAATGAATGAAACCTGTGAAGTACAGGAAAGGGAGAAAGAAAAAGACTGGTACCATGTAGAAAGTTAAAAGACAAAAGGATAAAATAGAATTAGCAAAGAAACCAGATGTTGAAAAGGGATCAGAATAGCACACTGTGACAAAAGAGAACAGAAGAGTGCAATCAAGGATAAGGTAGTCAAAATGGCTTAATACTGAAGGGAAATTAGGACAGACAGTTAAAATAGCCAATGAATTTAGTGACAGGGAACTGCTAGAGATTCAGTGAAAGTAGTTTTGGTGGTAGGATGGATAGAAAGTCAAGCATTAATAAGTTGAGAGGAAATCAAAGAGCATGGCATAGTTGTAAGATTTTACTAACATAAGGAAACCAACTGAATTTTGAAATGAAAGGAAGGAATTATTGGGAAAGAAGAGACAAAGGGGGAGGGTTAAGGTATTTGTTAGAGCCAAATTCCAGGAGAATCTACAAAGATTGACATTCTGGATCAAAGCATATTGTGTACTTTAGAATATAGGAGAGTCACAAGCTTTACCCCAGTTACAAATTTACCTGGAACTATCTCTACTGAAAAAAAGGACTTAAGCACCTGAAGCCTGGATAAGACTCTGACAACTAAGGATTCTCCCTAAGTTTGACCCTAATGAACTCCAAGATTAAAGAAATGAGCTAATCTTAAAGAAGGCCTTAGGAGCCTAACCTAGGTTTACAACCAGTTTCATTAATTAATGGCTGTGTGATGGTTGGTTTGGCTACTTTGGCCTTTTGAGCTTCAGTTTTTTCACTTGTAAAATGAGGACACTAAATATTTTCTTTTTTGAGATGTAACTTAAGATAACATAAGTAATAAGAAATGTCAGCATTCAACAAATGTTTTTGGAGGGACTACTCTAGGCACTGTGTTGGGACAAATCAAAATGGCTCTGCACTGAAAAGTTTCATTGGCCTATGGAGAAAGCAGACACATTAAGCCAGTGGTTACAATATATCAGAACATAATGCTCACTTATTTGAAGAAAGCACAGAAAGTTTAAGAATAAAGATGAGAGAAAAAAGACATAAATCAAGTTCCATCTGGAGAAGTCAGTGAAGACTTCCTGGAGGAAGTATTTCCTGAGCTGAGTCATAGAGGATGTACTTACTCTTCTCAGAACACTTAGTACACTGCATTTAAGTGATCTGTTTACTTATCTATGTTTCCCAATAGGCTGAGATCTCCTGGAATGAAGAATATACCTGAAAGAGAAATCGTCTATAATGTTGAATTGATGAATAAAAGAATGAGTAAAGATATCCAACTGGTAAACATACTTCTGTTTTTGTCCTCATTATACCATAATATAATTTATGTATTCTATATTATTTCCATTACTAAATTATGAATTCCTTGATTCATTCAACAATCAGCAAATATTCGGAGGTCCGACTTTGTATCAGGTTCTGGGGATATAGGAAAAATTAAGACACAATAATAAATGAATTAATCATATGTTAATATAGGTGTGTTATTGATATGTAATTGACAAAGGAATCTCTGCTCTCAAGAGACTCATAATTTAATGGGTAAGATAGCCAATAGACAAATACAGTATAGGATAACAAGTGTTTTGGAAAGGAACATAAAGAAATACAACTAATACAGTATTCATGGGGTTATAGAATGCATCCTAGAAAAGGCAATATTTAAATATAAATTTGAAGATGAGAAAGATTTACAGAAAAGGGACTAGCATGTACAAAGGCCATGAGAGAAGTATGACGGCATGAATTACAAGGAAAAAAAAAACATAGAATCTCCAAAACTGAGTATAATGCCTTACAGAGTAGATACTTTATATATAATTATAAATAAAATAATGGATAAATACCATTTCAAGCAGAGATGACATCATGAACAAAGATACAAAGATGTGAAAAGACCATATTTTTATCCCATTCTGAGAGAGTCCCCTATACTCATAGCCTGAAAAGTTAAGAGTAGAAACTTTTTCTAGAAGGCACCACACTGCATGTTTTACTCATATTCCTATAATACAAGGAGCTTATTTTTAAAAAATTTAGATCTTAGTCCAATATTGTGTCTAGAATAATCATTATCAGTAACTTCATCCATGAACCTAATGGAATTCTCTGTTTCAAACCATTTTCTCTTGTTTTGTCTGCATAAACCACATACTTCTGCACAAATTCTGAAAGACTTTCCTCATTCTCTTTCTTCTAAGACCTAGCTCAATTTTTTTAAGTTCTAGGTGTACACAGCATCTTTATTTTATTTTTATGTGGTGCTGAGAATTAAACCCAGTGCCTCACGCATGCTAGGCGAGCGTGCTACCACTTGAGCCACATCCCCATCCCCTAAAATTTTTTGAGGCTACTTCTATCTACACTAGATTGAAGTCAAGAAAATCTCTTTAGATGAAAAGCTGACCTGCAGTCATTCTGATTCAGCAGTGATGATGCCAGAAGTAAGCAATGCCAACGAAATTCAAATTCTTAACCAAGAAGCCTATAGGGATGGTGATAATTATTTTGTTTTCCACTGAAGCTGTCAAACAATATAGGAACAAAATCACCAACAATAGAGGGGTTTGAGGGAGGGGAAATATGTTCCTGTGGAAAGAAAGCTGGATTAAGAGTAAGAAAATGTAAATTGTAGTCTCCTAATCTGCTGCATGGCTTTGGCAGGTCAAATTTTATTTCTAGGCCCTATTTTCCTCACCTGTGACATAGTAAGTTTCAATGTAATTCAATAAATGAAATATATAGCAAACAGAAAAATAATGTGAGACAATAGTTTGATGTGAGAGATATAGAGATGAATATGCTGTGTTGTTGGCCATCAATACATACTGTTTGAATAAATAAATGAATGGTCTTATTCTTATTACTCACAGTATAGTAGAATAAGTGGAAATGTAAACATAAACTTCAGGAGAGTCTGTCAGTAAATGAGATGAGGGATGATGATGGTCTGAATTATGGTAGAGTCAGTATAGATGAAGAAAAGTAGATGATAGAAGGTAGAAAAAATAAGACAGTGACTTATGTGGGTGTTTAGTGTGCCATTTACAAAGATATGGAAGAAAAAATATTAAGTAAGCTTTGGTGATGTTGGGTTGGAGGTACTCATGTAATATGTGAATGATAATGTACAATATACTATATATGAATTTTGAGTTTAGAAAAAGATTGAATTAGTAATCAGAATGGTAACATCAAAAATGTACAGATTTAAGTTGTGTGAATAGATGACCATAGCCAGAGATAATGTGTAGAATATTAGAACGATAGAAGGGCAAAGATAAAAAAAAATATTAGAGAGTACCAATACTGAAGGGGTTGGCAAGAGTAAAGTCATAAAATAAAATGAGAACAGTCTGAGGTTGAGGCTCAGTGGTAGAGCACTTGCCTAGCATATGTGAGGCACTGGGTTAGATTCTCAGCACCACATATAAATAAATAAATAAAATAAAGGTATTGTGTCCATCTACATCTATTTTTTAAATAAATGAGATGAAATTAAAAGTATTTCTCTGGCTGCTCTGTGGTATATATATTTAGTAGAGGAGCTTAGGTTGGAAGTAGTAAAACAAAAATTAGGAAGCCATTTCAACAATCCACAACAGAAAGTAGTTAATGTGGAAATGAAGAGAAGATAGAATTGGAAGTTATAATTCTGGAATTCTGGTTATATTTCATTATATCAAAATAACTATCTTTTTCCTTTTCAGTGAAAGGCATCATCTATATTTTCCCAACATAGTGAATGTGTGTTCATCTTAATGCATCATAATTCTCTAAGTCACTTAAAACTTGGGAATGGAACAAGGAGACAAAGTGGGGCAAATTTCTGCAAATATTGGGAGATCTGAAGTAGCTGATATGTCTGTGTTGTACTCTCCTATACAACGAAGGACAGGCTGCTGCAGGTGACAACAGCACTGAGGACTGCATTTGGTTCTGGGAGCAGTTTATTTTCAGAACTGACATCCTACCCATTTCTAAATATAGACAGTTTTTTTCCTTTCAAACAAGGGTTTTTTTCTGTTAAACTTCAATTAAGATGTTAACTGTGTATTACAAGGTCTCTCCCACCCCTCCTACCTTCATGAACTTTATTCTTGTTATACTCTCTCCTCAGCCACCTACTCTTCTTTTCCTTGTCTCCTTTGTTTCCTAACTTTTCATTTTTAAAGATTTTTTAAAGATAGACACAATATCTTTATTTATTTTTATGTGGTGCTGAGGATCGAACCTAGTACCTAACATGTGCGAGGCAAGCACTCTACCACTGAGGTATAACCCCAGTCCTCTAATTTTCATTTTATTTCCTATTTCTCTGCTTTCTTAGTCTTTCTCTATCACCCTCTATAACTTTCCTTTTGATGCCCCTAACTTAAAAACATCCCTTAGGAACATCCTTTCCATCAGGTCAAGAGAAAATAGATGTCCAAAGACTATGTATAGAAAGAATTCTGTTAAGATGGCAATTCTCCCAAAAGTGATCTATAATTCAACACAATTTCTATCAAAATTCTAGCTGAATTATTTTTTCATAAAAGTTAATGAGCACATCCTAAAGTTCAAATGGAAAGGCAATAGTCACAGAACAGCCAAACCAATCTTGAAAAGGAAGAGCAAAACAGGAGTATTCAATCTTTCTGATTTCAAAACTTACTACAAGCTATAGTAATCAAATAGCATGGGACTGACATAAGGATATACATATAAAACAATGAAATAGAATTGAGAGTCTAGAAACACAACCTTGCATTTATAGTCAATTGATTTTTTACAAGGTGTCAGCCCAAGTTAATAGGAAAATAGTAGTCTTTACAACAAATGATGCTACAAGTAACTGAATAGACACATGAAAAAGAATGAAGTTTGACCTTTACTTCAAAAATATATAATGTTTAATTCAAATCAGATCATACACCTAAAGTTAAGAACTAACACTTCAAAATTGTTAGAAGAGGGCATAGTAGTAAGTCTTTGTGACCCCGGAGAATGCAAAACCTTCTTAAGATATAACAAGAGCACAAATGAAAAAAGAACAAGTAGAAACATTTCACCTCTCCAAAATTCAGACCTTTTTTGCTGCCAAAAATATCATCAAGAAAGTGAAAATATAACACTCAGAATGGGATAAAATGTTTGCAAATCATATATCTGAATGCAGTTTGGATATACAATAAAGAACTGTTTCACTTCAACAACAAAAATGAACTGAATTGAAAAATGGGCAAAGCTTTGAATAGAAATAGAAATGTCTCTAAGACATACAAATAACCAATATGTAAATGAAAAGATGTTCACTATCATCAGTCATTAGGAAAATTCCAAGAAAAAACATACTTAGATACGACTTCACACCCCCCAAAATGTCAAAACAACAGACAGTAACAAGTATTAGCAAGGGTATAGAAAACTTAGAAGACTCAAACATTGCTGGTAAGATTGTAAAATGGTGCATCCACTCTGGAAACAGTTTGGAAGTTCCTCAAAATATTAAACATGAAGTTATCATATGTTCTAGCAATTCCATTTCTAAATATATATTCAAAGGAATTGAAAACAAAGGGTCTACATAAAAATATGTGCATGAATGTTCAATTAGCAGGATTATTAAGAAAAGTCAAAAGATAGGAATAACCACCTGATACATGAATTAACAAAACGTTGTCTATCCATACAATGGAATATTTTTTGGCCATAACAGGGTAGAGTGGGATGAAGGAAGGGAGTATGGGATTGGGAAAGACAATAGAATACATTGGACATCACTTTCCTATGCTCATATATGAATATACGACCAGTGAAACTCCATATCATGTACAACCAAAAGAATGGGAAGTTATACTCTACGTATGTATGATATGTCAAAATATATTCTACTGTCATGTGTAACTAAAAAGAACAGATAATATTTTTTTTTAAAAAGAATGGAGCAGTGATACATGCTATGACATGACTGAACCTTGAGAACATCACAATAAGTGAAAGAAGCCTAGACACAAATGGCCATGTATTTTACAATTCCATTCATATGAAATTTCCAGAATAGGCAAATCCATAAAGTCAGAAAGTACATTAGTAGTTTCAGGGGGCTAATGGGGAGGAAAGTTGGGAGTGACTGCTAAGAAATAAAAGGTTTGTTATTAAGTTGATGAAAATGTTATGGTGTTGATGATGATGATTCTACAACTATGTAAATGTACCAGAAACTACTTGATTGTATACATTGAATGGATAAGTATTATTGGATGTGAATTACATTTCAATAAAGCTGTTTTTTAAAAGAATACATTTCTGAGGGTCTTCAGTCCTCATCCAAATAGACTCCTGACATGTATGACTCTTTGTCAGAAGTGCCAGTCTCTGACAGATGAACATCTAGATTATTTTTAGACTTTTAGTATTCCAAACAGTGCAGCAATAAATACATTTGACATATTTTTGGTAATATATTTATAGGATAAATTTATAAAGTAAAAATGCTAAACATGTATTTTGTTTTGATTGGTGTCATCAAATTGCTCTCCAAACAGCCTGTACCAATTTACACTACCACCAGGAGTTTATGAGAATCCTCATTTTCTTTACATTCTTGTCAACTGAATATATTATCAAATTTCTTGACTTTGTTCCATTTTAGAAGTAAAAAAATGATATCTTGGGTATTAAAAATGAGTGAAACTTAATACTTTTTTGTGATGTCCAATGCATTGTACTACTTTTATAAATATTGTCTATGTCTCATTTTGAGAACTATATTTTTATGTTTTCTGTCCAATTTTATATTGAGCTACTTTACATTTTAGGCCTAAAAGAACATAATAGATGCACTTAAACATAAACATTAACATATAAATATTAAAACAATTATATCTCTGACATTAATTTTTTCAGTTTTTGATTGGCCTTTTAATTTATAATACATGTGCTATGAAATATTTTAAATTGTTATGTAGTCAAACATCAATTTTTAAATTTTTAATTGACTCATAATAATGGCATGTTTATGTACATGTATATTATACATGTATATTATGTACATGTATATTGATACATGTATACAATCTTTCTCATTATAGGATCATGGACTCTACATTTTGTGCATATATCTCCCCATATTTTCTTCTAATACTTTGCACATTTTGATGATTTTCTATTTTTCAATAAATCTTTTATCCATTTAAGCTTATTTTGGTGTACTTCAGAGTTTATTCTTACCAGGATCTATCTAGGCACATATCATTCTCATTGTTCCTTCTTGAGACTTGGTAGCTGCTTCAATCAATCAGAAGACTTAAGTCATTCTATAATTTAAAGAAATTTTAGTCCATTATGTCATTGATTCTATCTTCCCCACTCTTTCTTTCCATTCCTTTCATTTCTCTTCCTTTTTCTTACTTTCTTATCCCTTCCCCTCTTTTCCAATGATCGTTAGAAATAAGCATTTGGATTCTTGTAGAGATTCATATCACTCTTACTTTTTTATAATTTTCCTTTGGCTTTTATGTTGCATCCTGAGAGAAACTTTGTTCAGTCTTCAACTAAGTAACTGTTTTTAATTGTGTGCATGCTGCTAGTTACCCATTTGTAAAGTGTAAATTTTTGGCATTTATGTTTTAAGTTCTAAAACAGATATTTTTTTTATCTTTGTGACAGACTGACTATATGGGAAGCTCATATAACAATTTTTGCCTTTTAAATGTAGATGTCAAAACTCAAACTTCTAGATTCTACATTGTCAGAATATGACTTAGAGTCTACCAATCAAATGTCCTAACATGAGACTTTGATTCAGAATTAAAGATATAAATCAAAACTGTATGGTTTCTTTCTCTTTCTTTCTTTCTTTCTTTCTTTCTTTCTTTCTTTTCTTTGCTTCTTCTTCTTCTTCTTCTTCTTTTTTTTTTGAATAGGTAGTAGCCAAGGATCTTGGCTCTGGGGGATGGCAGAGATTTCAAGGTCAGTTTCTTAATAAAGTAGTGACACCAGTGCTGGCAGCAGGAACTGTTGCAGTAAAGTAAATTTCTTGGCATCTAATGCAAGAGCAACAGTTTTTCTTATCAGGGCAATAGCACTGGTCCTGGGCATTATTTCTGGAATATGAGCCTTGAGATTGGTTTTCAGCCTCCCTTCAATAAATAATGCACTAAGAGCATAATCTCAATTTGGTATCACCTTCTCAAATAATCTCTTCCTATCTTTTGTGATCACTCATTCTAATGTCCCAGTTACTATATTTTCTTTACCTTTCTGGGACCTCCAATTCATTCGTGACCCTCTACAACTTTTTATTGGCATTCACTTACCTCATATTCTCATTACCCTTCTTACCAGAATTTAGATTTCATATTTCATAATTACAGTCACCCCCAGACATGTACCATTAATTTGTTTTCTCCCTTTCAATTAATCATATTCATATGAAAGAAACCCTAAACCTGTCTAAATTCAATTGTCATTCCATTTTGTTTCCATGTTAACTAGTTTGGTCTCCATTTAATTTAAGTCTCTTCAAATTCATGACTATTAACCTCAAGTGAGCTTTTAATGCTGCTTGGCAATGCTATGACATTTTCACAATCCACTCTCTTGATGACTATTTTATGCCAGCTACTCTCCTTAAGCCTCCAATATACACTACTCCATTCTCACTCTGATGACCTAGTTTTACAAGCTACCCCTGTTAACATTACCAATGACTTCTATATTGTTAAATTCAAAGTTTAATTATCCATCTTCATCTTAATTGACCTGTCAGTATCATTTACAAAGTTGATCACTCTCTAAAACACTACTTGGCTTCCAGGCTGACTTTTCTCCTTTATCTCTCTTATTATTTGTTCTCATTGTCCTATGGTGATATTTTAGCTTCCAACTTTGAAATACTGAAGCTCAATACTTGGACTTATGTATCTATACTCATTTCTTGCTGATATCATCCAGTTTCATGACTTTAAATTTCTTCTCTTTAATAGAGGACTCTCAATATCTATGGACTAGATTCCTCCTTTGAATTTCAGAGTAATATACGTCATAGCCTACTCAATATCTCCACTGGGATGTTTAAAAGACATCTAGTTAACATGTCCAAAATATCAACTCTCCATTCTTAAACACAAATCAACCAACTTTCTTACAATGTTTTCATGATAATAAATAGTACCTTAGTTATTCCAGTTCCTCAGGCAAAAATCTTGGACTCATTCTTGTCTTTTCTCTTTTATGCCCCCAATGCAGTAATCAGCAAATCCTATTCATATTTTCTTTAAAATATACCCAGATCCAGATCATATTATCCCTATCCCCACTGCTAATGCCCTACTGCAAGCCAAAATCACCTCTGTATGTTCGTCTCCAGTATGAGAATTCTTCCTTTAAAAATCTTCATCTGGGGGTGAATATCAGTGACAGAGGGGAGATTCATACAACTATTCCTCATTACTTTAATTCAATATACCAGTTGTCATTCTATTCCCCATTCTTTTCCCTGACCTTAGCATTATTCCAGTTTTACTGGCAAAATTAATATTTCGGAAGTTCTATTTGCCTATGTAGAAGTACCACTTCATAAATTCTATTCATGGCAATAACAGAACTATAAAATGATATTTGATACAATCTATCTATGGCAAACAGATTTCCCCATATTCATTTTATTAGGCAAGATTTCACCATTAAATCACTTTAAATAAAATTTATAAATGGCAATTGATTTCATTGATACTATCCTCATACCAGGTGTTTACTCTCTCATTATACATGACCACCAATTTATATTTAAGATACACAAACATCTAGGGCTTACCAGTAGCAAGAATAACTTTTATCATATCACTTGAACATTATACAAAGGGTTAGGATGCCAAGAATAATTCTCATCCCTTCTCACTTTCTGGAGCAGTGCTATGCATCATGTATTTTACTGGTTAGTCACAAAACTATTACCAGTACATTATGACATAAATATTATAAGTACATAATTATAAAAGTATACTGATCAACTATACAAATGGTAAGAATTTAGACATTTTTAATGCATTTGACATTGTTGCTACATCCATGTGCATCATTTCTTTCCTATTTTATAAAAATCCATGGCAAATTTGAACTTTAGAAAAAAGTGCGGGGGGGTCCTTCACCACAGAGAGTTGACAAGCAGTGCTCTAGATTGTCTCAATAATGAGGGGCAAAGTGGTATAGTTTCCCTTCTTGTATTACCTTTGTCTTCCTCAGGGTTGGCCTTTAAGCCAAGGGACCTGGCTGCCTTCCAGGCAGTCATTTCCGTATAGTTTAATAGCTATAGCCAGTGAACAGAAAGTGCATTTCCTGCCACCATACTGTAAAATTATTATTAATGTAATAGGAGAATGCACTTCTGGTTTTGGCACTGATGTTTGGGATACTGCATCAGGGCTAGTAGCTTAAAAGAGTGGGCAATATTTTGGAATATGGATTAATGGAGATAGAACCACAACGAGTACTTCCTGTTAAACTATGCTATATTTGATCCACTTAGAGATAATTTGATAGGACAATATTTTAAATGAAAATAAGAAAATCTCTTCTTAAAAGGGCCCATGAAACTTTGCTCAAGGAAAGTTTTAGGAAGGTGGATTTTAGCTCATTTTAAGAATTTTTTCTAACTACTAATGCATTAATTAGTCTATATCTGGTAAGGATTCAAACAAAGATGGATTTACAAACTATCATTCTTTCTTTAATAATGAAGCCTGCAATAGGTTGAAAATTAGATTAAGTTCCAGGGCCCCTTCCAAAGCAAGATTCTGTAATTATGTGCTGGGATAGATTTAGGCATCTAAGGAAAGAAAATTAATTTTGAATCAGCATCCATTAAGTGTGAAGCCCTGTGATTCCTCTTTAACTTGGAGACAAATTCTGTTAAGCTTCAGAAAGGATGTAATAATGAGGTCATTTGAGGGCTGAAAGTTTTCTTAGAGATGATTTGGTCTCAGATCCACAGTTCACAATCAAGAGGAAACAATAAAAGATTCAATGAAGTAAATGGAAATACAGACAAAAATATGGAAATATATACCTGGAAACCTTGTGTGTAAAGTGAACAATCCTGATTTTCCAATCTTTTACCTTTCAATAGTTATCTTTTCACATGATTCTAGTCTAAACTAGTTGATTATGTTGGAGTTCATTTATTGGGGTCATGGTGCAACAGTCTATTACAGATCAACCAGGTTGGTCCTTCAAGAATTTGAGTGTATCCTAGTAAAGAAAGACTAATGCAAATTTACATATGATTAATGTTAGAGAATG